CACGTGACCCCCCCCCCCTCCCCCGAGATCACGTGACCCCCCCGGGGTCACGTGACTACCCGCAGGTGACGTGACCCCCCTCAGTACCCTTCCCTGCTCCTCCTCAAGAGCTGCGCTCCAATTCGGCGTTACAGGAATTTGTAAACGGCTTTCATTTTTTTTTTGTTCTGACAGTTTATTATTGGTCAGAGCCGCTGACAGCTTCTTTTTAATCGAAATACAAAATATTAGTGGCACGAACCGTTCCACTTATTTATAAAAGTCGTTTTTTTTCGCCATTTTAGATCAGAAAAGATACAAATGCAGGTTAGGAAGTACGGAAACAAGAAATGACCCGTCGACATACCCGCCACTAAGTGGTAGAAAAGGCGGCGCATACTATACTCTGTTTCACCATATGATGCACCGCAGAAAAGGCTACAAGCGCGAGCTCCTTGCTCTAGGGCCACCGTGTCTAGGGCACATTAGAGCCACTCTATATGGCAGCGTAGCTGCCAGAGTAGCGACACGACGCAAAATTATCTAGATGCACGACGTCAGAAGCGCTGATAGTGATCTCCATTTTGGGCCTGGGAAGTTGCCATGGTAACCGTGCTTCTAGCGACGCCGGGCGGCAACCTTTGTAGTCTAGTTGATATCTCCATTCATTCATTGAAAAGTAGTATAAGACGCTTGGCATCGCGGTACGGCTAGAACCTCTGGAGGAACGGTGCCTGTTTTTTCTGAAAAGTGAGTGAGACGATTTGCACCCAGGGACTGTCGGGCGACGAGAGCTGCTATGGTATAGTACGTGCACGGACAAGGCGAGTGGTTTTCGGCGCCGCCGGGATGGCGGCCGCTTCGTAGGACGAACGTACCGTCCTAGTACTTTTGGACTTCGCTCCGATGGAAGAAAATCCGATTACGGCGGCCGCGACAGGACGATTGGCTCGGAACATGACTGCTGCTCGACTGCCCCATAGTGAGCGAGTATATATGTTTAGCATCATACTTCTTCAAGACCTGATCATCCCTTCAAGATGAGGTTTTCTCACCGACTGGTGAGGAGCGACGTCGACGGGGTTCAACCGTTCAACCAAGAAGGACGGCTTGGTGATCTCTAGGGAATTGTTGACGCCATCAAAAGAGACGGACGCCGGATATGAGGTGTTCTTGCCGACAGGCCAAATGGTCGTTCGGAAGTTTACCGGCATTCAAAAAGTCAATATTTTTATCTGGTGTAGCGCACATATCGGTGTTAAAGAGGCCACGAAATTATTTTTAAACTTCTTCTTCCTTAACTGTAATCCTCAACTGAGAAGAGAACTGTGAAATCACGCAGTCGTGACATGCTAGGGCACCGGTGCGATAACCCCAAGCTTTCACCGTGCTTTTTAAGCACACCTTAGAACTTGGCATTCGCAAGTAATGATAAGTTCCGTCAGGGCACTCATTCGCCAGAAACGCGAATTCAAATATCCATGGACGAATTGATTGCTGACGAGCGCATACATCCGAGCGACGCAGTTTTCGTGTACAATGCGTGAGTTGGGGTCGGCTGACGTCATTTTGGCCTTTGTAGGCATTGTAAATAGGATATTTAGAACCATACACACATGATGATAACGTCATAGCACACTGAGATTAAGGAGCACAAAACTGGCCCAGCTACAGAAAATAAATATTACACTCGTAAGAAATAAATACGTCTGTAACTTGTTAATTACAAAGACGAACACTCCTCTGAGTATCTAAGTTTAATAGTATATGTTGATGCATTGTTATATAGCAGGACATTTTATATACTGCCACTTGAGCAAACGCCAGCTTTTCACTTGAAAAACAAACCAAAAAACGCTGCGGTCAAATGCAAGCTATTGCAACGAAAGCAAGTTATATGGAAATCTTCAGAACTGCCAATTCGTAAAATTCGGGATTAGTCAAAAAGGTTAAAGATCGCAGGAGCTTCCTCGCTAAAAATGATGTGATTATTCGGTGACCCAGGGCTGAAACAATTTCCCCAAGGCCCTACACGCGCCGCATAACTTTCGTTATGATTCTCAGAAATTCAGACTTTCAAAGGAAGCTAGAAAAATGCGAAAATTTTATCCTAAAAGCTATGTGGAGCGCAAGTTCGTCTGCTTCTTTTTGCAGGGGTTGTGGTGACGTCAGAACGCCGATATCTGAGTGGCTCTGATTGAAGGATAATGGATAGACCTAAAAGCAAGCTGCCTTGAGGTCTACCCACTATTCTTTATTCAGAACCAATTAGAGCTCGGCATTCTGACGTCACCACAGCCCCTACTAAAAGAAGCAGACGAACTTGCATTGCGCATATCGTAAAATCGTTGATTAGTATACTTGGGAGTTGTGCGAATATTTATACAGCGTGTACTTGGTCAGCCATTTCAAAGTTGCGACGAGTCACTCGCTGTAGATGAGCAATTTAGCCAATGCAGTATAACCGCTAGCTCTATAAGTCTTTAACGTGCACCACGCAGTAGTGAAACACAACCGCAGGCCGGTACGATGCTCATCCAGATCGAAACGGGCAGGGGTGGGGATTGAACCCAGGTTCCCTGGTCGATTAGTACAAGACGTAAACATCGCAGGAGCTTCCTCGCTAAAAGTTTGTGATCATGCGGCTACCTGGGGCAAAGACAAATTCCCCAAGGCCAAACATGCGACGCATAGATTTCGCGTCGATTCTAAAACACTCCAACGTTCAAATAAAGCTAAGAGAATGCGAAAATTGCATGCTAAGTGTCTTATCGATCCTCAAACACATCCGGAAACCCGAGCACCGCTAAGGCGATATTAATGATGCTGTCGCACAGGTGCTAATATCCAGAGCGATCTTGCATAAAAAGGGTATAAAGTATAATTATTTCAGATCTTCACGTTATACCCACGTCAGAAAGCACGAAGAAGCCCTAAATCGTCGGCAAGCTGCGGCACATCACGACTCCGCGCACCGAACAAACTCGCATCCACCAGCTCTGGGCGCTGCCATCTTACCGATGACATCACGGCTCTTGAGAGGTCACGTGACGAGTCGTCACTCGGTTGCTACAGAAACCGAGCCAGCTCAGCTCGTTGCTATGGTACCACGTGTGACCAATCGCGGTGAGAGGCGGCACAGGGAAAAGCGTGGCGCTACTCTGGCAGCTACGCTGCCATATCGAGTGGCTCTAGGGCACATCAAGGCGGCACAAGCTCTCGTGCGTTCAGAGTAGCTCTCAAGGCTATGAGCGCTATGAGCTCGCGCTTCTAGCCTTCTCTGCGGTACAAAAGAAGGTGAAACGGAGTATAGAAAGGTGTAGTGGGATCAGGCACCGTTAACGAGCGGCGAGCGTAGGAAAGTACCGGATGTACGCGGCGGCGCAGCGGTCGTACAGTCTGGAGGATCCGACCGGCTCCGAGCTTTCCCAAGGCCTTCGGCGAGCAGCTTTGGCTTGCGGTTTGGCCCTTTGGCGGTGTGGCAGCGCGAAGTGGTTCCCGTTCTGAAGTGATCTTTACCTCGTGTTTGCTGTCGTTTGCGGCCAATGAACTGTCATGCCGAATTAGTGTTTAATCGCGCAGCAAATGCAATGCGAGCCGCCCTGGCTGCCCGCTTCATACAGCCTAGCCAGGAAATGCTTCAGTGGCGCCCTCTCGAGCCGTCGACACGGAGTGCGGCAGCCGTGACCGCTCGCTAAGCTCACTACCCCTCCTCTAGTTCACGGCCACTCAAGCAGCTAAGGACGAGAAAAGAAAGCTTTCATTAAGTTACTACGTTCAGTGCGCTCAGGTTCGGTGCAAATTAGAAACCAGTAAAGAAGCCGTTGCAGGGCCCCTTAAGGGTGAACGGAGTATTGGGCAAAAGATCGAACTATAGAGGGCGCTTCATCGAGCTTGTTGTCCCCACAGCCCAGTGTTTACTAATACAGCATAACATCGAAATCGAACCTTGCCAAGCACGGTCTGGGCCCGAGCGCTTCGCTCCTCCCAGTGCTTTGGTCGCACGAGCAGCGGCCTTCGAATCGTGATCTTCGATTTCTCTGATCAAAAACAAACAAGAAAATTCAGTTTGTTGTCCCCACAGCTGAAGCGTACCGCTAGAGGCGTGACTGCTCGATCCCCAGTAGTGGCGTTCTCAATTTAAGTCATCTTGACGCAATCAGTCACATGACTACATCACGGGGCCACGTGACTTGACATTACTTGACAGCATGTCTTGACAGATATGACGTCACGTGACCACGTGACACATTATTAATCATAGTGCCAATACAAGAGCGCCACGAAAGACCACAATTTCTCATACATTGAAACTCGGTACATGACAATTTGATCACTACATAAAAATGCAGCTGACACTTTTAATTTCTCAAACGTTCGTTTTGTAATACAGAAAAAAAAAAAAAAAAAATCCCCGGAACCGTTTTGAACCGGTTACCGTTATATATTTTTCCGGTTCAGTTCCGCTACAGCTCTAAGATGGCGGCAAAGATTTCGGTTCGGTACAGTTCCGGCTCGGCTAAAAATGGCGGTTCGGTTACGGTGTTCGGTTCGGCTCGGTTCCGGTTCGACACACTGGCTAAACTATATTTGCGATTGTTGTGCGATAAAAAATCACGCGTGGTTAATTTTTTTCAAGAAAATATACAGTTCCGTGTTTTGAACGCTAGTTTTCAGGATGTACTGTGAGAACAGTGGAAAACAGCTGTTGGACTGGATGTGCAACACTTCTGCCTGATTGCTATCACGATCTTCCAAGAAACGATAGCTTACAATATTACTGCGTCACATAGAAACAAGCGCCAACGTACTGCCCTAACAGTTGTCGAGCACCATCATTTTATTGTTGCAGTATGCTTTTTGTTGAGCTTTTATTTTTATTTACCCCTTTCCACTCTGTAACGCCTCCACCCAGAAGCAAATAACTAGTTATTTAATGAACTCCCGAACTGAATAATCAGCTAACCAGCCACCTATCTAATTAACTACAGAGCTAACAAAAAAAAACAAAAAAAAAACAAAACTGATCACCTAACTAGCTAACTAACTGCCGAACTAACTAATCAACTTATCCAACAAACTACCGAACTAACGAATCAACTAACCAACCAACCAACTAGCTAACCAGCTACCGAACTAACTAATACGCTATAGCCACTACCTAAAATAGATAACCAAGTATCTTTCTTCGTTCTTTTTTCTAATGTGTTTATTCCTCTACCCTTCGGTGTCATCGTAACTCTCTTTTCTCATCAGTTTTCACTTTCAGGTTCGGGAGTAGAGCAGCGCTGTTTAAAGGCAGCCCCCCGCAAGTTTATTTATTTTCTCTATCTTTCCTTTAAATGTGTCTGCAACACGGTTTTGTTTCTCCCGCGGAACCATAGATTGATCGGTAATTTTAAACCAAATGAAGGACGAAAGAGTCAAGCGTCCATGACGGTCAGAAATACGCTGTATTTCACGCTGCGTTTACTCTAAAAACAAGCAAAACTCAACGAAAAAAGAAAAACAGTCCGGCGGCCAATGTACCGCGGAGAGGGTTATTCCGGCAGTAAACAGGGTGCGACACCGATAGTATTCTTTCCAAGCTTTCTCCCGCCTCCCTCTTTCCGAACCGCCCGCCACGTGAGGAGCAATTTTGGCCGGGGTTCGCCAAACTGCCCGGGCCCGGTGTCGGCGCGCTTTCCCGGAAAGGAGCTCGGGCCGGAGCTTCCCCGGCGCTGTCGTCACACCCCGCAAATAGCGGCCGTGTAGCCCGGGCTCAACGGGCAGCAGTGGCGGGTTTTCCCCCGGCGGCAGCGGACAGACAGCGCGATGGCCTTCTCGTCGCGGAGCCTCGTGCCTTCGACGCCCTGGCTGCCCCACGGCGACTGGTGGGACTCGTGGGAGGTGCCCAGCAGCCGCCTCCTGGACCAACACTTCGGTTCGCCGCTTCTCGACGACGAGCTGCGGCTGGTGCGGCCGAGGCTGGCCAGGCCTTTCCGCCGCCAGCTGTCCAAGGGAGGCGTGTCCGAGCTCCGCAATGAATCCGACGCCTTCCAGGTGCGAGACACTAGCCTTCATAAAGGGGCCATGAAATGAAATTTGGGCTGGGGTAAATACTTTGAGAGATACTTTTAGAATACGGGATAAGGATTCAGTAGATGCTGCGCCTCCAGCTCGAGTTTTCTAGCTTTGGTGATATTTTGTCGGGCAGCCAAAGCCCGGAAGAAGGGAACGAGCGCCTGCTGAAGGCGGAGCTCCTGCACTCTTTTCTGCTACCAACCATAGATGCAACGTCGTGGCTACGACGGTGGGAAAGAAAGCCTACCAAGCATGGGACGCGGAAGCGTTTGAGACTCGATTTCACGTACCACTTTGCTTTTGCGCTGAAGTTTAGGCCGTGCTTTCTCTCAAAATTTCTGAGTCAATACAGTTTCTAGCACGCTGACCCTGCAGAAAATACGCCCTCAGAAGCAATAATGGCAGTTGATGTGACGTAGAAATGTATAGATGCTGTTGGGCAGAACAAATCCGAAGGCGCGTTCAATCTTTTTTTTTTTTTTTTTTTTTTTTTTCATATTTGTGGTCTGTTCTTTGGCAGGCCACAAATACCATAGATTAATATTGAATGGGCGCTGTTGCCACGTGATGAATGGTGTGTATATGTAACTCGAAAAGGGCCTCGTCTAAATAGATTGTAAAACGACTTTTGTTTGGGCTAGTTGGTTCTTACTAGACATGATTAAAATAGCGCAAATTTGACAAGGACAAATTGCCAAATTTGTCAAATTTGCGCTATTTTAATCATGTCTAAATAGATGTTTATTGAACGACGATACAACCCCCGCCGCCCGGAAAGAAAGGCGCCAGAGGAGTGGGAACAAAAAAGGGGCGCGTTCTGATCTCTCTGGATGGGTGGCCGTGCCTCATGCTACGCGGTCCCGCGGAGTACGAGCTGTGGTACGGATGTTTCCTACGTTACATGGATAGTTCTTGAGAATGGGTGCCCCATTCTCACGAACTAATTATTTTGGCGATACCTTCGTGGCCTAAGGTGTTTGCAAGCAGCAGACAGCAGACACTTCTGCCCCTAGTGTTACTGGTGGAACGTTCTGCCGTCAAAAATAATGGCAAGCGCTTAAGCATGGACGATCAGACCCGCGCCTCGAGGCAACACGTCTGCAGCAAGTGAAATGAACAGATCAGGGTTAAAGTGGTCCCAATAATCCGTAGCTGTCAGGTACTCTTTGATGTCTTCAAAATGCACTCGTTCTCGATTTGCGTGTGTTGACTTTTCTCAGTAGCTTGCTTAGCTGCGTTCATCTGAAAGCCATGCTCGAAAGAAACTTGCTGTAATGCTGCCCCAATGCAAAGCAGAAAACCTAGCTGGCTGTTGTTCTCTGATTTGAATATACAATAGAATAGCCTTGGGGGGGAGTGGAAAACCGTCGGAAGAAACCTGTTGTCCGGGGTGTTCGAGACTTTTTCGAAGTAACAAGAATGTTTCTTTCTTGAGCATGGAGCCGCGTTCAAATATACAAAAGAACCCGTTCAAGTTTTAGAAGTGTCCAGCAGTGCTCCTTCCAGAGGCGATGATGTCGTCGAGGCAGCAACTGACGCCGTCGGGTTCAGCAGTTGCTTGGCCCACTGTTGTGTGCTCAAAAACTGTTGGCGTGGACTTGACAACAGAAGGCACCATGAAATTGGACTGGAAAAGACCTTTGTAGGAATTCATCGGAAGAGCCTTCCTTGCCCCTCCCTCAATATCCGACTAGCGCATGCTTCTGGGATATTCAGTTTTGTGAGGTTATTCTCCTGAACGTTGCAGTGTGTGCTTAGCGATATCGATGTGAGGATTCTCCGAGAGTGTAAAGTCACCACATACTGAACTGATCCCTCCGACTTTGGAAAATAACGATTGGAATGCCCCACTGCGAGTAGTCCACGATTATAAGGACGTTTTTGCTGAACCTTTGTGTTTTTGTGTGTTTTTTTTTTTTTTGGCTTAGACTCTGAACCTTTGGTTTAGTACAACAACCCAGGTCACAAGTGAACAAGCTCTGAAACCTGGTTGACGTTCTCCTGAGCAAGGTTTCAGCCTCCAACTCCGCAGAGTAGACATTATTTAGCTGAAATCTGTATTCAGACCGTCGATTCAGGTGCATTCAATCAGGTTGGTGAATCGCTTGCCATTCGAAGTGTTGCCTTGGCATAACTTGAAGCGAACAGCCCGATACCATGATAAAGTATATAATACTTAAATAACGTAAATTAAAGAAATCGATTTCTGCCCGACCGTGCTTTTCTCGCTAGATTTAACGGGGAAACCTAATTAGTCTATAGGTCACGTGACCTGACGTCACGCGATCTATACACCAATTATGTTTCCCCGCCAAAATTGCGGGGAAATTAATGTTGCGTGACTTGACGTCATGCGATCTGTAACACGAATTCAGTTTTTCCGCTAAATTTAGCGGTAAAATTGACGTAACGTGACCTAATGTCACGTAGGCCACGTGACGTGGCCAGGTGCACCAATTCACTTTCCCGCTAAATTCAGCGAAGAATTTGATGTCCCGTGACCTGACGTCACGAGACAGACAAATTTAGTTTCCCCGCGAAATTTAACGAAGCACTGCCGTCACGTGATTTGATGTCACCAATTTAGCTTCCCGTCTAAATTTAGCGGGGAAATTGATCTCAAGTGTCCCGACGACGCGTGACACATCAGCACAATTTCCCCAATAAATCTAGCAGGAAAATTGACGTCACGTGTCCTTTACACCAATATAGTCCCCCGCTAAATTTAGCGGGGCAATTAACGTCACATGACGTGCACGCCCGGATTCCCCGCTCCACGTACGGGCGAATTGATAAATATAAAGGTTCTTCACACCCCGAAACGACGGTTTCCTATCCAAACAATTTTAAAATATCACACCTTAAATACTGTATAGGACTTTAAAGATAAAGGTCACTACCATTACTTTTTCTTTATTAAATTAAAACCTTTTTATACTTGGTGGCACCTTTTTATGGCAATGCAGTGAAAAGTGCGGGCCACGCGTGCTTTCTTTCAGACTGAGCGTGACCCGCACTCAGACTGAGTAGAGAATGATAGCGCAGTGCGCGCGCTATCATTCTGTGTGCGTTCGTACTTGCGTGATAGCGCAGTGCGCGCGCTATCATTCTCTCCTCGGAAATCCCACAGAAAGCATCACACGAGCAGAGTTACATTTTAATAATTTGGGTTTTCCGACTTTCTGCCAGGAGTCAGTGTTGAAAAGTGTGAAGCCGGGATCACACTGGTTTATACGCCATATATACTGAAGACAGTCAGAATAGAGATTCGAAGGCGAGTCACCGCGAGATCCGTGCTCCGAATGCCGTATGGCAATGAGTTCAAGGGGAAATTCTTGGCACGCGGCGTTTGAACCACGGATATTGCAGCGACCCATGTTTGAAGACTGTCTCTTGTGTGATGTATGAGCAGTGATACCTTGACTTTAGTCTACTGTGCCAAACTGTAATTTAGTAGCAGTTTCTTGGATTGCAGAAGTTTCCCATCTGGTCCTTGAGTGTTGAATACTCGCCAAGGTATTTCACTGACTGCCTATACCCGACTTGAGCTGCCTATACCCGACTTGATGAAAACATCAAGTCGGGTATAGGCAGCTCAAGTTCGATCGTAAGTGTTTTTGCAATAAGGTAAATTACTTTTCAAAGCGTTTTTTCTTTTTTTAGTAACGTTATTATTTGAGATTTGTGCGAAATCAGCAGCACGCAAGTGAATCACAAGCCATTTTCGAGTTTTTAGCTTCCGGACTGATGACTCGAAACTGGACCTTCCAAGCCGCGACCTAAGCTTAGTTGATGTCCCTCCTGCGTCCCAAAAGAAAACAACTAATTTATCGGTAACGTGAAATCCTGCATAAAGACGAAACATGGTTGTAGTGTGTGTGTGTGTGTGTTTGTGTGTGTGTGTGTGTGTGTGTGTGTGTGTGTGTGCGTTCGTACTTGCGTGCGTTCGTGCGTGCCCGCTTGCTTGCGTGCGTGCGTGCGTGCGTGCGTGTGTGTGTGGGGGGTGTGTGGGTGGGTAGATCGGTTGGGGGGGGGGGGGGGTGGGGTGGGGTGGGGGGGGGGGGGGGGGGCAAGTGCACTGATCTGTGCCAACGGATTGACTGGACCCGAATCTCAACCGAGCGGTGGCACAGAGCTCGCGTCTAGAGCGCCGTTCACACATATGCGACAGAATAAGACCGAGAGAGACCAGACCGGTTTTTAAGCCTCTTGCGACGTCTTAGACGAGCTCTGCTGCAGCATATCCGGTCCTAAAACGTCGCAAGAGGCTTAAAAACCGGTCTGGTCTCTTTCGGTCTAAAGCCTGGTTCAGACAGTTGCGTTTGACTGCGTTTCAGTGCGTTGCGGCTGCGAGAAGCCATCAGGACATCCCTGCTGCTTATATCGCGTGCCAAGATGATTCCTTGAATCGGATTCCACGCTTCATACGAAGCACAGATGTGCCAGTGACTTTCTTTCGGCTCTCGACGCAACGCAGTCAAACGCACTCAAACGCAAATGTCTGAACCGGCCTTAACTCGGTTGCATATATGTGAACGGGCCTTAATTCGTGCCGCAGCATTGTCCCGACGTGTCAGATACACGGAACTCGGGTCTTCCCTTCTGGCACACCTTTTCAACCACTTCCTTCGTCTGCCGCCGGAGATACCAGAAGGCTGCCTGCCCATCGTACGGAATGGGCCCAGTATAGTGTCGCATACTGATCTACACCACGCAAGATTCGCTTTCAGTCTGAGTAGCGGGAATTGCCAGCGAGCCGCGCTGAGCAGTGCCGACAGAGGGCCGCAGCGGGTACGAGAACAGCCAGAGGGCGCGGTACCCCGCGGCTATCGAGTGATGTGTTCGGTCGCACACCAGTCACCTAGCTGTGTTTGGAGATTTGTGTTCGTCCTTTGTCCCTCTTGTTCCCCTTCTCCAGGGATTATTTTCGTCATGCTCAGAACATGCATGAGATGTGCCCACAGAAAATTCAGCCATCATGTCTGCAGCAAACAACGTATTTTTTGTGCGATGTACGGGCAGCAGAACTGGGGCTTTAAGCCGACTATTTTGCTCAAAGCAAAACTCCCTAATCCAGACGTCCTAAACACAAATTTGCTAAGCGGTAAGCCCAAGCAAAGTGGCGCCCAAGCAAAGCATTTTTTTTATTCATTGTGTCCAGACTATAGTTTTTAAAGCACTGCTCCTTGCAACACGCTGTATAGTATAAAACAAGCCTGCGTACGCCCACACTAGGTGCGGGCACTGCGCGTCACACTTCAGGTGAGGGGAAGCGTCCGCACATGCGCAGTGCCGACATAAGCGCCACCGCAGTAGAGCGACTTTAGAGAGTTGAGTTGGTGTACGGAAAGAGCGAACGTGTTGCCAGCGAACGCTGGTCCCTTCCCTGCAGGTGATGCTGGACGTGAGTCATTTCAGCCCCGAGGAGATCACGGTAAAGACGGTGGACCGGTCCATCTGCGTGATGGCCAAGCACGAGGAGCGCATGGACGAACACGGCTACGTGTCCAGGGAGTTCTCGCGCCGCTACCTGCTGCCGGCCGACGTGGATCCGCAGAACGTCACGTCCACGCTGACTGCCGACGGTGTGCTCACCGTCACGGCGCCCAAGAAGCCCGCCCTGTCGGCAAATGAGCGCTTAGTGCCCATCACCGTCCAGGGCGGACCCGCTGTGCTGCCCGTGCAGCACGAGCCTTGACCGCGACGGGACGAGGCCCTCCGCCAACATCCAATACACTCGGTTGCAGGTTAAAAAAAGCGGGACAAGCTTCTCCCAAAAAGTCTTCCACTTTTTCCACTTCAGCGAAGCCAAGGCTGGAGGAAGCGAGTGGTGAGGGGGGAACTACCAATCATGACGAGCAGAGAGCTTTGTGGGAGGGGCTCGCCCTGCTCTTCTTAACCTGCAACAGACTACTCGCAGCTCCGCCCTACAGATGGCGGGGAATCGAAAGATGGCGGAAGAGACGGGGGTATAGATTCTCCAGGATTTCCCGTGCGCCTGCTCTTTGACGCTGGTCAGTGCGTTAAAAATTAATTTCCTTGGCTACAAATATGAAGCGGTCAGGGCAGGAACATTACACAGGAGACGGAGATGTTGACGGACGTTAAGAAAATCTAAAGGTTGATTTTTAAATGTCGCGGAGTTGAACTAGTCAATTCCTATTAACGCACTCGCCTCTTTCGTTAAAACTGCATTAGGTACGAACACGCCGACGAGAACCATGCGGTAACAGCAACACCAAGGCTGACAATCCTTGCTACCGTCTTCGCCATCGTACCCGCTCCTCTGGTTCTTCGTTCGTCCGTGAGAGGGCGAGCGACGGGATGGAGTTGCGAATAGATAACAAGGTAAACACCACCTAGAATAATCGAGGCCTACGAATAGCCTCCTCTTCGTCTATGGAAGCCGTCATCACAGTTTCAGCTTAACTCCAGATGCAACAGACGCCACGAGCCAATGGAGCCAATCAAATAGCTTCAGAAGTGTAAGTCACTAGGCCTTCCTTGTAAATGATTGGTCCAGCGATGATAGAGAACGTGCATAACCAAGGCGAAAACCACGATGGTGCGCTTTTGAAGCTGTTTGATTGGTCCCATCAGCTTGTGGCAACTTGAGCTTAAGTCCAACGCCGAACGTTCTTCGATGCATTGATTGAACACGAGGCTCAGTGGAACGCTGGTGCAGCAGTGTCTAATCTGTGCGTGCGCTCGATCTCACTTTGATGAGGTTGAAATTCTAATGCGCAGATTTTGATTGTAATAGGTGGTATTCACAGGGCCTGCATTTCCTGCGTAAACCAGCGGAGGCCAGCGCGGGGCTCAAATTGAATACCTGTGATCATTCGGCCGTGTTGGCCCAGTGTGTTCGACGGATGAAGGCGCGAGTCCCACCCGAAAGCTGACGCTGCACTCTTGTCCAATCTCTGCCCTCGCTGGCCTCAATTAGGTGACGTAGAAAATTGATCTCTACGGCCTTGCCATAAATAGGTGCCCTGAGGAGGTTTCTGAGATCGCCTAAATGTGTCGCAATAACTCACTTTGCGAGCTCTAAGGATCCAAATCATAACAATGTACGGCCGATTTCTCTTAAAAAAAAGCAATCAAATATCGAACACACCTCATCTCCGGCAATGGGAGATAACCTCGGTTGTTCGAGGGTTCCGGCAGCCAGAGCGACTGTGACCAATGAAAACGGGACATCACGAAATGTGTATGCTTCTGTAGATAATAAATGTAAAAAAGAATGGTCGAAAAATGGTAATTTTTTTGCGGACAGGGAACATAATATTGCAATAATCGTTTCAAAAACAGCGCGCACTGTTTATGTTTTTATTTATTTATTTATTTTCTGCGGGAGTAATGTACCCGGTCGTCAGCTAACGAGCGCGCGCTCGCTTGGTTCAATCCGGTTCAATCGTAGTCCGGACTGTGTATGGGCAACGAGCCGCGCGGACTCGAGATATCACTTCGCGGTTCCACCGGTTAGAGGCGCGAGGAACCCTGACTCGCTATTGGCTGACCGTGGTTCTGGTTTCTGAACATGCTCCTTCCATAGCCGGGGATGACTTCGGTGTGTTGCGATCTTTGATTGCTTTTTTTTAATAGGGTAATCGGCCGCGTATCGTCATGATTTGGGCATTTCTTGGATGCAGAGTGAGTTATGGTCATATTCAGGCGATATCAGAAACCTCCCGAGGGCACCTTTAAGAGGTATTTACTATACCAGCACAACCTACAATAACCGAAGCCCGGGAGCAGCCTTTTCTACCTCTATGTATAACGTCGTCGTACTCAGATGGTGCCAAATCAGCAATATACTTTTTTTTTTTAAATATTGCGCGCTATCTAGGCGGTGCTCAGCAAATAATCCGAGTCCGCCATTGTTTGGGCACGTGCACCAATCACGTATTGAACACAATGGCTGCGTGATAGTACGGTGTGATCTCGGATTCAATCGCAGGCTCCGTGCACAAGAAATGGCGACCGCCAGTGTTGCTTGATGGGGCTTGGGAAAGGGTCTATTGGGCCCGAGCCGACGTCGAGCGTTCTTCGATACATTGACCGGACACAGGGTGTTTGGTTTGTGTCTGTGCTCAATTTCACCGCGATGACGCCGAAATGGTGGTGCAGGGGCCTCGATGATTCTAGGTGACGTTGACTCCAGCCGCCCCAAGGTCGTCAGCGAAGTGGAAGGTATACGCACGCTGTTCAGCTAGCGACGCGCTCGAACGGCCAGTATACACGTTTGAGGAGAGCCGGTGTATAGTGCGAGGCCCTCCACCGAAGCCACGAGCCGCAGCTTCTACTCCACTGCCAGCTTAGGAGTGGTAATGGACCATTCGATACGGGACGCGAGATTTTACAACGTCCACTTACTGGCACTCTCTTTTGTACCGGCGGTGCTGGAACTTCCTGTTGGCGGCAAGCTACAGTGCCACCGCATGTTGGTCTACACGCCAATCCAATGAATTTACTACGTGGAAAGTAATAAAACGAGTAAACTTCAAATATATATGTTTTTTTTGTTTTTTTTTGTTTTACGACTGGGCGTGTGTTTGTGTTCTAATGCACAGATTTGAAGATCGCAACATTAGTCAGACATTCCTGGAGGTGGCGGAATGCTGATACACAATGGTTCTAGAACGTTCCGATAGCTCCGACAACCAGACGATACTTCGTTATAGGGTATAGTTATCGACACACAAAAAGATCGATATGCACTAGAAATCCAGTATGTAAACAATTACCGGTGACAAGATGGTAAGTACTTAACAAATGTAAACAAAAATAAAGGCAAAGATGTGCCTAAAAACAATAAGAGGCGCCGCAGCTATCGATGTCAGCGCGACATCGATAGCCGCGGCGCATAGCAGCATCGAACGCTGTGGTAAGACTGCATAAGTAGACCGATCTCGCAGCCCGTTTGATTACGCCACCTATGCCACCATGCATCGTGGGAATTGTAGTCTTTCAGCACGAGCGATAACCTCGCTGAGGGTTTGCGCTAGCAGAACACGAAGCGACACGAGTTGTCTCATGAACTAGCGCCCGCCTTCTATGAACTAGTTATACGTCTCGCATGCGTGGTACGCTCAGTGAAACCTGTCTATTCAGCATCCAACGGCTTCTCTTTATGCTCTATGATCAAGGTTCCAAGAACATGCGGTACCACACGTTTTCGAGTGTGTTGAAACCGTTATTCTACTTTTATTTCTAATAAAATTACTGGGCTAGGACTTTTTCCAGACGCTCTCGGAATAGGTATTATTTATATATGCTTAATGTTTTTAAAAGGTTTTCAAAATCTCAACCATTTTTTTTTAACGAAATGTCAAACTGTGTTTCCTTGACCCTGTTTGATATGGAAATATCACTTAAGTTTGCACCCTCCTTCAATTCAGGAGCTTTCATAAAACGTAAATCTTATGTCAAAATTAAAAATTAAATTTGAAAAGAATGGCTCAAATTAAGGTTGTAGCGTGCAACGAAAAAAAAAGAACGTCACGTGACGTGGTTACGTAACGTGTTGACATGGTGTCACGCGGCTCGACGTTACGGTTTCAAATCAGGGTGTCACGTGATTTGACGTCACGCCAGGGGATCACGTGACGTGATCGGTGTCATACCCTGACGTCACGTGACGTCCATTTCCCCTTAAAATTTAGCGGGGAAAGGCACGGACGGAGAGACGGACACATCTCTGAGATTACGGGGTTCCGTTGAATAGCGTTCTGTGCTTTGACAAAAAGTGACTTTTTTTTTTCTAGTAAAGGGCGATGTACTAATTTGCGTCGAGTCCGCCCGAGTGCAACTGCAACGGCTTGCGACGCAGGGGTTACTTTGGCAACAACTGCTCCAACGAAACCGGTTTTAACTGTTTTGTTGGAGCCGACGCAGCAGTTGCCATAGCAACCCTCGCACTCGGCTGGGCTCAGCGCAAGTGTGTAATAATTCACACAGCAGCGTAAAGGTACCTGTAGTAAACGGCGTTCTTGATCACACGATAAATAAACGGAGCCACTGATCTCAATGACAATTGCTGTATCGCGCTTCTCACTCCCGCAAGTGAAGCTACCGGACGGAACGATGGCTGGGATACGATTTACGGTTTTGCCAGCGTTTTGCTGCGGTTTTCCAGCGTGCTGTAGACACGTTTTTTACTCGTTCGTCGCCATTCACCGAAGAAGTTTTTGTAAGACTCTGTGTACCGTTGAGGACTTGCCATTGTGAACACGTGGAAAATTTTACGAAAGTGCAGTGTCGCAGGAAAAAGGCTCAACTCGTCGGAAGCAAGTTTCGCCGGTCTGGCGGCGTGTTCAAAGCTTCCTTGGCACGCCGAAGTGCCGTGTCTCTGTGCCTTCGCACGCTTGGATACCGACCAAGAATCGACGCCGTGTGGATGTGTTTTGCTAGTGCAATGTGCGTGAAGCCGTGCGTATCTAAAGGAACAACTCGTCTAAAGCAAGTGTCGCCGGTCTCGCGGCGTGATGAAAGCTTCCTTGGCACGCCGAGTGCTGCATCTTTGTGCCTTCGCACGCTTCGATACCGATCAAGAATCGACGCTGCACCAAAGTTCTGAACGTGTGTCGCGCGTAGATGCCTTTCGATCATATATATATATATCGGCTACGGAGTTCTGGATCGTCCAGCTGTTCCTGGTGAGTTGCTATCAATAAAGGGGGGGGGGGGGGGGCAGAGAGAGAGAGAGAGATCTATAAGGGTTCTTGTGTACTATTTATTAACCATGGCTATGTTAGAAATCTACTCTAGTGGATCACATGGGGAAAAAGAAGAAGAAGCCTCGGAACAGCCTGTCGCAGTTTTGTGGCTCTCAGCTTATTTTTCGTAAATTGACCAATCTTAAATAATTTTGAATTGTTATTCCAGTCGCAAGCATTGTATATTTAACTTGGCATCAAGTCTGAACACCAAGAAGCGGGCGCCGACGGCCGGCAAATTGCCATTGCCGTCGCAACTTGATGCCATTCCATCCATAAAGCCTCCCGCCACCATGGAACAAGTACCACCTTCCCAGGAACAAGGTAAATCACCTTCACCCAATGAAAATCCACCCTCCCAAGAGCTGGCATCGACACCCCCAACTACCTACTCAGATGTGCAGGCGGAAGCCGTCATTCCCATCAAACGGCAGCGCGTTGAAGGCGCATGCAGACTCGACCCACAGAGGTCAGACCCTCCATCGGAAGCGGCGACTTCGGCTTACACGTTACAGGAAAGCATGGATGATAACGACAATGACGCGAGTTTCACCATCGTCTCTTACAAGAAAGACCGACCAGCAGGTATCCCAATACTCTTTCATCCGACGTCCAAGGAGACTTCCTTCTGGAAGGTGAACCCGAATGTCCTGGCACGAGAGGTATTGGGAATAGCACAGGAGAAAATACTCTCACACAAAATCGCCAAGGATGGCAGCCTATCGGTCAGTGTGGCGTCCCTCCCTGCGGCAAATAAACTGCTTGCGCAAACACCCCTCGCGGGAATCGAGGTAAGGGCAACCACTCCAAGGTCCTACTCCGAAAACATGGGCAAAATCAAAGGAGTTCCTCTCCAATACTCCGACAGTGATCTATTGGAGTACTTAAAAGACAGTGGTTTACTAACTGTCCAAAGACGAATTGCAATCCAAAGACAAGAAGATGGCACTTCATGCAGTGGCCCGTCCCAAAGATAACGTCATACTTCGCTTCACGCAGGACCGCCCGATGCTCCCCAGGGTAAACTTAGGGCTCACCAGCCACCCAGTGGAAGAGTACTTCGGTTCTCCCCTTCAATGCTACCAATGTCAACGATTTGGACATATTGCCAAGAACTGCCGTGGTGCCCGCCGTTGCAAAATCTGTGCAGGTCCACATCACCATCAAGAGTGCCGCTCACGAGCTGAACCTAAATGTGCCAACTGCGGCCAAGGCCACGCGGCAACGTTTTCCGGCTGCTCCAGTAAAAAAGCGGCAAGAAAAACAGAAATCATAAATGGCAGAACACCTACTCGACGATCTCCACCATCAAATCCAGAGATGGTGCGAATACCTGAAACTCCAAACGACACAAAATCGTCGACATCCAAGCCTACGTATTCAGACGTGCTACATCGACAACCAAGTAAGATAAACACCGTTTTTCAAAAAAATGAAAATGGTTCCATGACGTCAGCGCCGCTTACTCAATCCGAAAAGTGCGAGTCAGGACCTCCAATGCCTACCGCGTCTGGTGCCCGAAGGGCTCCACGACCCACTGCATCACAAACGACACCCTCAATGGAGACGCCGTCTGCTACATACCGTGCAGATTCCCAAGTCAACGCAAACAGCCAAGCAACTGATCAACGGTTTCTCATGCGGCTACTGTTTTTGGCAGTGAAAGCGATCATTAGATCGCTACCAGACGCCGTCAACATCTCAGAGGTAAAGGCGACCCTTAATATTGCCGCGCGCAGGGTCACGGACTTCTAGAACTTTCTCGTTTATTCTTGCTCCGGACATAACTTCTGTCGTTTACCCCTGCTTATGTTGTTCTAGAAAGCGCGTGTTCATTCTCGCCGCGAGCGCGCTACGCTCGAACCTTCTCCGCCGAATCTTCGAGATAGTGACTCACTCTAGATAAGAGGCCGCCCGCGACCTTGTCGAGTCAGTCTCGCCTCTGCGCTCGATCCTGCGGTTTCGCCGATATCGACGCCCGCGACGCTCTGCTGATTTCTTTTGTACCCTTTTATTTTTGCAACAAGTTCGCCACATTAAACGTTTATTTCTTCTTGTTCATTTTCTGTTTTTTTTTTGGTCACCACCCGTGACATTTTGGTGGAGGTGCGGGGTAACCGCATGCCCATGCAGCGCTCCCCTCCGAGTTCCCTCAGTGCAAGTCCGAACACAAGCCCCCAAGAACCCAACGAAGACCAGACCGAGATCCGATTAAGTCGCCGGAACCTTGGCCTACCCCCGGAATCAGGACCCTTGCCACCCAAGACCAGGCAAACCAAAAGGACGACGTGAACCAGTCGGAGACCCCGGCCGCTCCAGCCGTCGTTTATCTGCCCGTCGCACCACGGACGGCTGCTCCATTTCACGGCGAGCAATACGAAGACGTCGAAGACTGGATTGACCAGATATATGAACGCGTTGCCCGCCACAATTGCTGGACCGACGAGCAGCGTTTGCACAACGTCTATTTTTCGCTTGAGGGTACCGCCAAGCACTGGTACGAGAATCATGAGTCCTCTTTGACGTCGTGGGACATTTTCAAGACCGATCTCAAGGCTACGTTCAGCAACCACCACCGCCGAGAGAGAGCCGAGGACCTACTACGAACCAGAACCCAGGGCCCCAACGAGAGCGTCACCGGCTTCGTAGAAGACGTTCTGCGCCTGAGTGCCCGCGCCGACCCTCGGGCTACCGAAGAGAAGAAACTACGAATTCTCATGCGCGGGGTGAGAGACGACATTTTCGGAGGCCTCGTCCGCAACCCGCCGGCAACCGTCGACGCCTTCGTCA